TTTCCATTTCTACATCACACTGGCAGATCACTACCTAGGGCGGGTGCTCGCGCATTCCTGGTGGCTTTCAACGTAATTGATGATTACTATGTGGTTTGTTTGGTAACTTTGATAAATCGGCTGATTGTAGAAATCAGTTTCTAGATTACTTGAGAATTCTACCACGTCATATTCTAATAGAAGATCGATTAATGTTGTAAATCAGATGTTCAATGCTGGACTAAATCCTTCCAATTCTCTGGAGTTTCCATGGGACTTGCCCTACGCTACATCCAGCTATACCTCCAATCATATTGCCGTTTTCCAATGTGATCGGTGATACACCAACCACTCATTAAGAAGTATGCTATAATACTTCTAGAAACTATCCAATAAGGGCCGGAAATTGAACAGTTATCAGTCTTATTAATATTGAGCGGCTTCCCGGTGAAACATCGCCGTGATCGGATACATATTTATACCTGGTCATCAGATAAAGCTGCTCAGAGTGTGCGCAGACAACGTATGAAGTTGTAGCTGACCGGAAAATATTCGAGTGACTGGCATCGATCTGAATGGGCTTGAATATGCCCAGCACGTACCGGTCAGTATATATACTACAAGGTTAAGTTATAGCAAAGTTCCTGTTAGTACTCAAAAAACCCTTGCTGCTAGAGTACAGTTACTTAGCTGGGAGATAAGAAATTCACCGCTTGATACATTTCAACTCCCTTGTCCTCCGAATATATAATTGTGGGACTAATACTAAAGGTTTATTACTTCCTATTAGCTTCCCGTATAGCAATATTCATATGGGAAAATGGGCGATCCGGATTGTTAGTACGTTGAATGGATTAGTAAAGGCAATCAGGCGCAGCATCACAGTGCCCAACCCCATGATTCGGCTGGTGGCTCTGATAGTTGGAACCTTTGGAATACTGATAACTTGAAGAATCCTCAGGCACTTGATATTAAGCGTTCTCTTCACAGTTGATATCAAAAAGCATTGTTCCGGTTAAAGTAATATTAATGTGGGGCATGCTTCGTATTCTGGCATTTAATTCGACGCCTGACAATAGATAAGGTGTTGGTGGTGGTACTGTTGCCTTGATGTATTAAATACAAGGATAATTCGTTTCCAAAGTCGCTTGTTGATGCGGATATCGAGGTTTGAGTAGTTACGAATATGTAGGCTGTGGGTGTTGATCGCGACGCCTTGCCAAGTGGGGTGGAGGATCGGTAATCCAATTATCTCACTGATATCAAGCCCGCCCTATTTACTACTCTATGATAGCGTTTCCGAACACGACCAATATTGCATGACATACAAAAGGGTGGATTTGGTGCTTTTTTGTATGGTATGCAATAGCAGTCGTGTTCGGAAACGTCATGAAATTAGTAGTTGGGAGTTATGCAAATTCGTTTAAATGCATCTACATACATAGCTGCAGCCGATCTTGGTGGGAATATCATTGAAGAGGTTGTCTAGATTGGCGAATGAGACACCCCGGTAATCCAGGATACCAAACCAGGTTTGCTGAACTGCATATTCTTCTGCTCCACATACCTGCAGCTAGTACTAGTGCAATGACGATACCAAGTAATTAAGCGCTGGCATAGGGATGTCTGAATTGCGGGGGTTTATCCGCCTTGTATGAATGTAGCACTTCTGATAATGTGCCATCTGCATGCGTTAGTTCCCTAAGATTCGTGTGAAAAGAATACTTAATAGCCTTCCGTCCCACTCTTTCCCAAAATCATACACAACCTGTGACATCTTTTCCATGACATTCCTCAGTACCCTAATCGCACTGCCGCCGATACCCGCCATTTCCACAGTATGTGCGATCTATATCACCTCCATATGTATATACCGACTCTACCTGCACCCATTGTCGCGCATCCCCGGGCCGAAACTGGCCGCCTTGACACTGCTCTATGAAGCCTGGTACAACCTCTTTGCCCAAGACGGTAGATTTATCTTCCATACCGAGAATCTTCACAAGAAGTACGGGCCAATCGTTCGCATCGCGCCAAACGAGGTTTCCATTAGCGACCCCGATTTCTATAACAAAGTCCACTACCCCGGATCGCAATTCGAGAAGGACCCAGTGACATACGAAGCCTTCGGCTTCGGCGATTCGATCTTCAGCACGCCTACCAACGAGTTGCATGCGAAGCGCCGTGCGCCTATCAAGGATTATTTCTCGCGACGTAGCATTCTGGCGATCGAGCCAGTTCTTCTAAATACCATCAAGAAATTCTTGGGCAGGATTGATGCAGCCATAGCTACGCAGCCGGAACGGTTGTTTGACATCCAGAATGGACTTAGAGCAACATCGGTGGATATGTCGACGACCTTTTCGTTTAATTTTCCGTTGGGGATGCTGGATATGGAGGACCTGGGAAAGAGGTTTTCTGAGGATGGACAACGAAGGTTGAAGGGGTTTTGGGTGGTCAAGTATTTCCCATGGTTGCCAGCGGTGCTGTCAGTGCTTCCGAAGAGCGTGGAGAAGTGGATGTTGCCAGCTATTCAAAGTTTGAAGGATTTGACGATGGTACGTAACGTGTTGATAAGCGCCGATCGGCCGAGTGAGTGGGATTGACAATCATATGAATTCTAGATGTCGAGGGGCTCCTTTGATAGCATCAAGGCGTCCGGGGAGACAGGCACAAGCATCTTTCACCACTTGTTGAGCCCAGAGAATATGAAAAGGGATCGGTTGTCGGACGACGATATCATCCAGAACGGTGTTGTATGCTTTGCCGCCGGCGCAGAGGTATCAAAGCATCCCCTTTATCGTCAAATAAACCGGTGACTAAAATAACACAGACAGTATCGTACACACTCATCATGACTGCCTTCGGCATAGTCTCGAACCCTGATGTAGAAGAGAAGCTCTATAGGGAGCTCCGTGAGGCATTCCCGGATCCTAACGAATTATGTCTCTCAAAGTTGGAAAAACTTCCGTATCTTGTTAGCGATCCCAACTTGACTTTAAATAAAGATGGGGAGATATACTCACAGCATGACTAGGTTGCGGTAGTGAAGGAGGGTCTACGACTCGCTCCTGGTGCCTTCGGATATACTCCCAGAGTGACGCCGAAGGGTGGGATTAAATATAATGAATACACTCTACCCCATGAGGTATGGGCCCATTTTACCACGAATACACATATTGCTGACGGCCATTGCTCCAGAGTGTGATCTCAACTTCGGCATTCTATCTGCACTACAACCCCACAATATTTACCAACCCAGAGAAGTTTGACCCCGAAAGATGGCTATCCCCCGACAGCAAGAATCTCGAGAAGTATCTCGTACCATTTGGAAGAGGCCAAAGGATGTGTGTTGGAATGAGGTAAGTGATTCAAAATGAGCTCGAGTGATCGGTAGATGACTGATAGAGGGTAGTCTTGCATTCTGCGAGTTGTATCTGGTTTTGGGGAGTATCTTTCGGAGGTATCAGATGAATTTGCATAACACTTCTTGGGAGGATGTGAAGCAGGGGATGGACTACTTCTCGGGATTTCCAGCAAAGGGGAGTAGGGATTTCACTGTGAAGGCTCAAAAGCGTGGGGACTAGATGTAGAGTCTTAAAATACAGGTCTAAAATGAATGGAGAATAAGCCACGCTTCTGCTGATTGTATCCAGGTTGATCTTATAACCTTAGGAAACCATTTAGGTTTTGACCCAGAGATACCTGTACTTTCAATAAATGTATGTACGTGGGTTCTAAACCTTAACTCGTGTTGGGTGGTTGATTAGAGCTGTCAGCTGTCCTCTCCCTGAGGGTTGAACTCGCTACCCTAGAGGTGCTATTGTCAGAGTTTATAAACAAACAAAAAAAAAAAAAGTTTATCGAGATATCATTACAACCCCTAACCCTAGTCTTGAACGGCAATTTCCCCTAACCTAAAGTTCACGTGATCGCGACATTTCTTAAATACTTTCTTACCCAGTTTTATGCACAGAACCTTTCTATGAAAGATTTTCTTCCATCATATTGAATATTTCCTTATCTTCCTTATCGTCAGTACGTGGGTGGTTCAAACGCCTCAAATTCCAACGAGTCCCGTATTTCTTGTTCGACCAACTGAGAATCAAAAAAGGAATGTTATAATCAGATCCGTCACAAAGACAATACATGTATGTCACTGCTTATGCACCCTGTTTTCTCTTGCAGCATAGATGTGTGGGGGCCTGTCTTATTACCAAGTTTCAAGAAATATGGTTGATGAAATCTAGTAAATACGAAATCTATGTAGTATGTTGCAGCAAATCTTGCTCCGGAGGTAAATACTGAAATCCAAAGCCCAAATATCGGTTACATTCTAACAAGCCATAAACCTGTAACCTCCACTTCTCTCATATTAGTAGCGTGCATAAGATTTATCCAGACGCTATCTGGAGATGATGGTAATAGTCGTAGCTCTTTCATGTATATTTGAATCTAAGACGAAGAATAATATGAGTGCATTAGGATTTGGCCGTACCGTTGTACAATCCGGAATCAAAGCCCTACATGTAGTTTAGAGCAATACGTCAGCTACAGAATACTTGAATCAGAAAGTAGGTGGGATTGATACATAAATGTAACCCGCGCTACTAGCGCCGTCCCATCCCGCTGTTGATCTCACATCACCCGAGACGACCACTGCTATTCCATATAACAACATCATCAAAATCTTCAACGACATAAGTGTATTCGGCGACGAGAATCTCTCTTTATTCCAACTATGTCGAGATGCTACTTCCCCGAGGAAAGTCCACCGGAGACATCCAGCCACCCTAGACCCATCTTTAACCCTGCACCTCCAAGGACTCTTTCTACCAACCTCAATTTCAGGTTCGGTCAAAATTTATCTCTCTAGATCAAACAGGATCTCAGGCAATGGATCCGCGAAAAGGCTTACCACACTGCTTTCCTGCCTGGAAACGGTAGATTTATTGGTCAAATCCGACTTCATAATATTCTTTGTAGTAATATAACAGCAAAGATGATACGTATCGGCCTCGATGAGGCAGGTCCGCGAAGAGTTTCAGCAACTCATCGACGAAGGATTTATCGACGAGTTAATGCAGGAAGAGTCTAGAAGAGGGGAGGGTGTAATCTCGGAGGCAAACCTGCCTACACCCCCTGGTGATCTGGCGGTTGTGATGTGGATCAAAAGAACCGCAAAAGAAGTGGCCTTTTGGGATAAATCCCATAATGGGTTTGCCAAAGGAGGATTTATTGGCGAGCTGAGGCTGTACAATAGGCTTGTTGATCGCTTACCGGATCTGCAGGCCAAGGTAAAACCCCCTTCTGGCGGGTATCATAATCATCAAACTATCACCAAGACTCTAGTGAGGATGGTATCGCAGGGATATATCGAGGAGCTTGAGGCCGAAGGCAAGTTGAGGCAAAACCAGAGCCAGCAGGTCGGAATGTTTGACCAGGAATCGGTTGGGACGTGAGTAATTTCCACTTGAAATATCGATATGTCCGTTAGTATTAGTTAGTTATCCATACTAACGAAAGAATTAATAGGTCTGATGAATCCAACTCTTCTACAAGGGCCACTCGAGGTACTCACATTGGACAAAGCAGTTTTTCCATGAGGGAAGATGCAGACTATTATCCTGCATTGAACGATACCAGGGAAATCGCTCCGGGAAAGGACACCACCGGTACCTGTTTTCGCAACATATTCCGCAGTGTACACAGTAAATCCCGTTCCGATTTTACAGACACCCCCAAAGCCAGTGATGATACGTCTGCCTCTTGTTGTGCCACGATTGCAACTTCCTGCTCGGAATACTATTCTCGTTTGAGAGAAATAGACGCTGAATCCATAGTTATTCCGGACCTCCGTGCGCTGCCGCCAATTTCAATCCCTGCGAGCACACAACATGCAATCCTTTACACTCTACAGTACAATCTCGAAATAGCCTTTTTCGAATTTGTGCAGAAATACTACCCTGGATTTCTCGCTTCCAATGGCTTGACCCACGCACAGACTGTCACCCTTAACGTCTGGACCGCCATTTTTCTCAAGGCCTGTTCCAAGGGCGAGATCTCCCTGGGCACTCGAGCTTTGCGATCCATCACCGTAGTTTTTGAAGATTTTGACGAGTTGTTTGAAGCTTCTATTAAGCGCCTTATACTGGACGGGAATAGAGTCGCTGAGCTCACTGCGTCCGCTGCGTATACAATGAAGTACCTCGGAGATCGGTTTCGTGCTGGGAAGGTCAACGAGATTAGCTTGGCCCTTGTAACCGCTTGCACCGAAGACATCGTCAATAACTTCACAAGAATCACCAATGAGCTCCAAGATACCAGGGAGAAGATCGCTATGGGGAGGAAGAAACTCGACATGCTTGAAGAGAAGCTTAAGCGGAGGTCAGATAGGGAGATGAAGGAACTGGTTGAGCGCTTGGAGGGATCTCTCCGTCAGGAGCTCGGGGCTCTTCAAATTCTGGATAGAACTATCATTAATTGATAGTATAAGCAAACGGAACTATGTGTGTATTTGTTTGGGTTTTTGAGACGACAATCTTCGTCTCTGCTGGTCAGTTGTAACTTCAACAACACATGTATCTTACTCCAATCTTTAAAGGTAGATGGGATACCTACGTTCTACCTGGCCGTTATTTTTTCATTATTCTTCCTTCGTCGTGAATTTTGCGAATAAATCCTTTACTCAGGCGTATATATGGTGGTCGTCTGCCCCGTATTTAAGAATTAATATCTGGTAGTATTGAGCAGCTATCACCGGTAGAGAGAGGTTTCGGTAATCAAAACTGTAAAGAGATATTTCTACTAGTGGCGTTTAGTTAAGGTACACCCCCCAAAGGCGATATTTTTTTTATATCAAAGATTTTTCCTTTCCGAGATCCAAAGCCTAGCCTCAGGAAAATCAAGATAAGATTAGATAGTAGGTTATGCCAAGACTCAACTATCTTGCTATCCTTTTTGGTATCTGAGACAACAAAACAGTTCAATTGTGGTGATGGTGATGACGATGAAAGAGGAGCCAGATGAAAACTACATGTAAGCGAGAGGTAGCCCCATCTGGACACCTATCCTATCTATCATCCACTTACAACGTATTTATCTATTACTAAGCGTTCGCATTAACTAGAGTGCGCCACAACGGCGGGTTAGGGTAAGAGTAGATTCTAACAGCGTATTTCAAGTTTAACCTTACGTAAGACTTATATACGGTCTTCGTTTTTATCATTGCTGGACGAAGAGAAAAAAGGAAAGAACTACGTCATGGCCAGCAGGTTATATGTGTGGAATGAATAAACTAAGGCTAATTTGCTCTGAAAACCAGCGGGAGATTCGAAGAAAGGAGATTTCCAATACAATATTTACCCCTTGGTCTTCTCATTGCTATTTCGTGCTTGATTCCGCAGCCTTACTAAGAAGTCTTGGAGCTAGGCGCCAAGCCATTAAATCGAGTGAGAGCATATGATTCTCTCACACACATTGCAAGGTTGGAACAACTTCGAGAGTCATATGACAATTTTAAATTTCTACATCTACCGCCACGATACAAGAACACAATTTTTATCCCCCCCCCATCATCCCCACCCCCCTCCTCCAAACTACTCAACTATGAACCAGTCTAAATTTAAGCGGTGCTGGAGCTGAACCAGACGGTGGCACCAGCCGAAGTTGTGAGGGCAGAGAGGGCGCTGACGGCGTCAAGAGTGTAAGTGTAGGGGAGACTAGACGAGGTGATGGTTCCAACGAGAGCCTCGTTGGTGCCAATGCCCAAGTCGTTTCCGGTGGCGACTGCATAGCCGGCGTCGGTGGAGTAGCTATTCACTCAAATTAGTATGATACCTCATGCGAGAAAAACGATGGAAAGAGGGAAAGCTTACATCGCATCCTCGGTGTTGACAAAGACGTTGTTCTCAATCAACAGCTGCGCACCATCACGGGTGTTGATTCCGTCATTGAGGGTGTCGTAGTAGTTGTTGTAGATGTGGCCGGTTCCGAAGCGGAAAGAAGGTCCACGGGAGTTCAAGTTCTTCCAGTAGTTGTGGTGGTAGGTAACAGTGAGATGGCCAGTGTCCTCAGCAGAGTTGCTGTCAGAGTGTCCAACAAGGGATGCCTTCCAGTGGTCATGGAGGTAGTTGTAGGAGACGGTGATCCAGTCACAACCGTGGGTGATGTCAAGCAGGCCGTCGTAGTAGTCTTTGTCATGGTCCATGTCGGAGGAGAGATCGTTGTGATCGATCCAAACATTGGAGGAGGCCTGAATGGCAATGGCATCGGTGGATGCAAGAACCTTCTGAATCTTGAGACCACGAACGATAACGTTCTCCACGTTGAGAACTCGGATTCCAATGTTGACAAGGGCTGGAAAACATTAGTAATTATTGACTTTGCAGCTGCGCAGAACTATGTGGGTGAAGACTTACTAGCACCCTGAGCTCCAAGAATCGAGGTGTTGGAGCCAGGCTTAACAGCAACGCCCTCGGACTCAGTAGAGGTGAGAGTACCGGAGACAATAACAATTTTTTTCGCGTCACCTGCGACAGCGGCTGTAAGTGCGGCAAGGGTAGTCACGGTAGTGACAGTACCGCCACTACCACCGGTGGTTCCACCATTCTGGGTAGCGAACTATATACCACGATTGTGTAAGTGTCTAGTTGTTCAAAGGCCTGAGAGTCAAACTTACACCAGTGGTGGCAACAGTGCTGTATCCGGTAACAGCGCGCTTGCTGATGGATGATGGAATTGCAGAAACTAGCTGCGTCAAGCAGACCGCGAGAAGAGGGAGCGAGAACTTCATTGTAAAAGATTAAAACCGAGATCAAGTGAGAGGTATCGAGACAGAGAACTCTGTTGTGATGGTGAGAGAAAAGAAAAAAGTTCAATCAGCGGAATTGCAGCTTCTTTATAGCTGGAACTTGGAGTATCGACTTTGACATATTCTGGTATCATGGAGCAATATCGCGCCATTGTAATCATCATGGAAGGCTCTGTCGGTAGTCGGAGGATCTTTTAGCGAGAGAGTTTTGATAACTTCAGGGACAAACTACAGTATTGCCCTGCCGATCCCAATTACGAATTTGGAGTTGTCCTGAAAGAGATACAAATAACCATGCCAGGAGAGGAGCCATACGCAGATCTTGACACTTTTCGGTATTAAGCAACGCCATGGGGGAAGTATTGAGGGAAGAAATTCCGGGGGTCTGGGTCTGCAAAGCTTCAGAGTCGGCCCTAGTCGCCGAGAGATTCTTACAAGCCTTCTGAAAACGGGGAGATTTTCACATGCCCTGGCAGCAAGTGTCATGTCGCTGTGCAATGTCCCTGCCTATCAAAGTATCCTCTACGTGCGGGGATTGGTGTCGATCTTTGTCATGTTTCCGGTTTTCTAGCCATAGTGAGCACATTTATTATAGCAAATACTGGGATTCAAGATCTCATGCAGCATTGGCGGTGAGCTTAATTACCTTTCGTGCAACTACAGGCGAGAAGCTTTTCACCCGTACCCCGAAGAAATCTTGTGCACCTTGTGCTGCAGCTTACTCGTCCTCCGAATATTTAGCGGAACGAATGTAGTGTCCCCTCAACGAAGTCGATGGAGCGTTTCAACCGCTGTTCTGTATACGTAGCTTCTCCCTCTGTGTAGAAATTACGCCAATGATCCAGCTGGACCCACTAGTTTCAGAATTATAGGCAACAAAAATGATGCTACCTGGGACCTTGATCGAGATCCATCAATATAGAACAAGAGTTCGAGCGTCGCGGCCTGGGTCGGAGTTCACGCCATGATAGTCCGACATGTGACATGGGGCTACCTAATATCTGCAAAACCGAATTCTGTTGTTGTCCCTTGCTGGAGAGTCCGGGTGAAGATCACACCCGTGTAATCAATATGGTAGACGAGAGGGCCGAGAGAAGCTCGATAATCAGTAATCTGAGCCTATATAGAAATCATGCAGATATATGAGCAAGTAATTCTAAGCCAAATAGAGCTTCACTACTAGCTCTTTTCTCCGTACGCGGAGAGTTTTGCGGGGTACGTATGTCTGTACCTGCTGTGCTAATATCGAGGTCTTGGCTAAAACAGAGACCCATGGAAATCCCCCACGAAAAGATGCCGAGCTTCCGGAAGGTACAGCTTCGAGCAGGGAAGCTGACATGTACTTTAATTTACCCCTTCCTCAAAATGTCATCTTCAGCGACAAGCATTTCGCAATACGCTGTTCTTGAAACACCTGCCGGTCTTGGCCTACTTTGACCCGAAGCGCGGCGGATCTGGGGGCTTCTCTTCCGCTGCAAATTGGCCAGGATCATTTCACTCTGCAGCATGCTGTCACGTCAGCCAACGGGTATTTCATGTCAACTAGATATTCGGACCCAGGTTGTATTCACTTTCAGATATGTATTGGGCATGCCTTGAAATTGACAACACAAACGGAAACCTCTTCTCCCGCCTCGTAATCAGGAACGTAAATGTCGCTGTCAAGCTTTCGGTGGACCAATTCCCCGAATTCTGGAAATATTTGACATGCGGTAAATCTTGAGGTTTAAGCCGATCGATACGAATGACACAAGAAAGGTTTGTCGTTTCGTGAACAAATACCTTAGAATGCAGCGATGGATTCGAGTAACTAAACACGATCGGCTATACCCATCTGTGAGTCATTAAACAAAAATAAACTCGCTCAGTATCTTTGAAGAGAATCATTGAGTACATACTGCAAACCAAATCCACAAAATCACCTCTCCTCACTCGCCTATGCACAGGGTTAGGGTTCCCCACACAGCCTGGTTTTCAAAAGGCTCGGCGATGACCCATAAAAACCCCCGAGAGGCTTATTTATCCCCACGACCGCAGCTTGTGGCACATCTTGAGATCTTTCTGGCTCCTAGAGAGACGGTTCTACCCGTCCTCGGTGAAATATGGATATATAGCAACTGCACAAGCAAGGGTAATGAAGGTGGAGAGAGATGATGAGTGATTGGTCGGAGAAACACCGGCTTTGGGGGGTACTTTGCGGACAAGGTTTAGATTACTAAGGACATGTATTTAGATGGTACGACAAATGTATGTACTTTCGCACGGGCTCTAAGAAGTATCCAACGTGCGTGATAGTACGTAAGCACTTTAAGTGAATATATTATTACAACAGTACAATGCAGCATTAAGGGGCATAGAATCGTTACCAATGATTGAGAATGAATACTAAATGTGAAGTACAATACAGAAAAGCCCGATGTAATTCGCACCGTTATAATAATTAGTGATGTGATGCGGGATCGTGTGAGAATACATACATGTACGAAGTAATTAACTCACATGCTGCAAGAACACTGTAAAAAAGCTGCATGTATCACTACCGCAGTGGAGAGTATTCTGATTGACCCGGTTGTAATTTTATCAACCTTTCCGGCACGGTAGTTCTTGTTCAAGTCAACATACGGCAACCAAAATTGACCAAAGGTGATATTTGCAAGAGTTGCAACAACACCGATAGATATTCTGGTGTCATGGGGACAGATGGGGGGTATAACTATAAGTACGTATCTCAGATTGCAAATTCTACGCCTAGGGAACAGTTAAGAAAAGAGCTAGGTGGCCCAGCACGGGCATGATTTGTGATTTTAGTTAAAATCTGCCAAGACTTCCCGCAAGAACTTTCACAGTTCCTGTAGAATTGATCGGAACATATAGAAAAGTATATTTTTACACACCTAGAACATGTACTTCACGCAAGGCACAATATCACTGCAAGTGCGTGCATCTTTAAAAGTTGATGTGCTGTGGGGAAAAAAAATGCCTCGCCGCTGTACGACGACCTCCGCTAGAAGTCCACATAGCAACAAAGAACTAGTACAACATAAGACTACTAAAAGTTAACTACATAGTCCATATTCAGGGCCCGCGGTGCTAAATCAGAGAAAAAGGCGTCGTACATACAAGTACATACCTACATGTAGCGGTCTATATTACCACTTACTCAACCATTTATATGATATCAACCACCACGCCGTTTCTTCGGACAAAGGCGGTGAACAGCAGGAACAGACCAAATCCTTCCTCCCCCAACCTTCACCGGACCAGAAATCTCAACACTGAGAAGAGGCCAGCCATGAGTCCTATTAAAACCGCTTATTTATGTGGGTGTGAGATTCAGGGCTAAGGATAGACACACAATGCTGTAGATTTTGACATAGAATTCTAGAAACTACAAAACGGATAATGAAATAGTTCTGTAGTGCTGATAGAAGATCAAGTGGGAGAGAGCGGGGGGGGGGGGGGTACTCTGTGTAATATCCTCTGTATACCGTGCTATCATATATTTTGTCCTTGATATGTAGGATATACATCTTGCGATTTTTATCTAAATACAATTGCAAGAGATTCGAGTCCACTTTTATCGTGCGCACACCTCTGGTCATTGAAGAGACTCGACCTTGGAACAGTATATTTTACATCTCACTCTTCAAAACCTTCTCGTAGACCTACGATTAGCCACATTACCCTCCACATCTCAAACACCACTACTCTAGACCCATCGTAATACTCTATTTCCCCATGACTCTCGCCCGAGACCTCTCGCTCCACCCATGTCGAACCCTGCGCGCCTTACATAATCCCCATCACTCCCTGCACTTTACGTAACCCGTAGATCCCAGCAAACATTCAGATATGCAATAAACGGCCTCAACAATATCTCATTGGTTGCGTGGTGTAGTTGGTTATCACACTTGCCTCACACGCAAGTGGTCCCCGGTTCGAGCCCGGGCGCAATCATATTTTGCTCCTCTGGCCTATGTATTTGCATGCGCGTGCGCTCGGTGGCGGTGATAAAAATATCAGGGTCTTTGCCTGTTTATTGTGGTGAGGTTCTGCAGGCGAGAATGTTGCTGAGCTAAGGGCCCGTTTGGCTGCAAGTCAAAACGGAGTTACAAGAGGAGGATTTGTATGGCAACCACATAACTCCATTCCATTTTCTTCAAACCTACATTTTTCCAAAAAGGTTTGTGTTCGGGTAGCTAATTTTGTAACTCTGTTAAGGTGTTGAAACGGAGCTCCTGAAAAGTAGGGGGTACCTACTTTTCAGCTCTTGCAGTCATTGCAACCAAAAAAACCAACGTTAACAATCATTAACAATCAGGTGTTTGGCAACCCAAATAAATCCAAACTCCATTTTGGAAAAGCTCCACTTATCCTCTCCTAACGGAGCACAAAACGGAGTTTCGATACCCCCACAACAGCTAAACGGGCCGTAAGTAGTAGTGCTTTAACCCTCCTCTTATCGTAAGACAAATCGCTCCGATCGCTCCTGTCACTATATAAATATACTGATATTCGTTTTCATAGAAACGCCTCTGCGCTATCCCGTCGTGATATCAAGAACAGTTCTTTGTCGAAAAACACGCGATTCCGAGTGATGGACAATGATACAAGCGGGGGTGGGGCCTCTATCGAGACAACCATTTAATTGCAGGCGGCAAATACCCGGGTTGAGGCAGTCTTTCTACGCGAGGTGTTACAAGTGTGACACGGGTAGACAGCACTGAGCTTAAGTTTGTAGCTTTCGGTATTCGGCATCCGTGTGGCTCGGCCCCGGACGAGGTTGTTGACTTGTTCCGAACCGGGTGTCTTCCAACTATGTATGTACTCGTACATACGTATTGCGGGTTCTCAAAAGCAATGGGACGACGCAACGGGCTTCAGATTAATAATTTCTCAACCACGACCAACTATAAAGAGGTTATATGATAAATGATGATGGCGGTATCAGAGATATGAGGTGTATTTTTATTCCGTATTATTGTTCGTTGGTTGCAGGATTGGGTGATCGTTGTAGTGTTTGCGTCCCATTATTTTTGACCACGGCCCGCAATACATGGTATCATGCTACGCAGAGCCCGATATTGCATCAGTAGAAAAAATCGAGAAAGTTGCTCACCGAGTCCAGTACTTAGCTTGTGTGTAGGTAGTATAATAATTCAGTGATATCGTCCGCCTGTTCTTAAGGTCCGTATTATTTCATGTCCAGGTCTTAGCTCGGGTTGGGATCCCCAGCAGAAGCTGACCAATCCACTCAGAGGCGCAGATACTTATCTGTATGCATGCAGCATGTAGATCTATCTCGCGGCGGGAGCGGGGGCGGGGAGCCGGGGGGGGCAAACCTCGGGTATCCCTGCTTCCCCACACACTCACAACCACAACCACAACCTCGACTCCGACCTGACCCCCCAATCACGTACAAGCCAGAAACAATCGGTATCTTCGACACTGACTCTCACATACATCACGACCCCCGCCGCACAATGAAGCTCGCAGTCGCGCAATACGCCACGCGCGAAACCTTGGCCAAGACCATGGAGCTCCTCGAGCGCGTAACAAAGGAGGCCGCCGCCGCCGACGGCGTAGATCTCCTCCTCTTCCCCGAGGCCTTCCTGGGCGGGTATCCGCGGACGTGCAATTTCGGGGTTGCAGTGGGCTCGCGCAGCGAGCACGGGAGAGACCAATATTGGAAGTATTGGCAGCAGTGTGTGGACCTGGGGGACTCGTGTCCCGATGGGACGGGTGTGTATCGGGAGGGGGCGGGGGACGGGACGAGGGAGAGATTGGAGAAGGCGGCGAGGGAGACGGATGTGTTTTTAGTTGTGGGGGTGGTGGAGAAGTGTGGGGGCACCTTGTATTGTGCGTGTGTGTTTGTGGATCCTAAGAACGGGGTGGTGGGGAAGAGGAGGAAGGTTATGCCGGTAGGTGATTTCTACTTGAATCGGATGTGTCTGGCGGTTGATGGTGTGTTAGACAGGTGCGGAGAGGGTGGTTTGGGGGGTGGGATCGCCGAAAACATTGAAGGCTGTAGAGGCAATGCTCTGCTACGAGAAGGTGACGCTGGGTGCGGCAATTTGCTGGGAGAATTAGTAAGTTCCCTAGCTATCAAGTATTGGCGCAGGAGCGGCCTCTGACCACAATCAAACCCAGTATGCCACTTCTCCGCGCATCGCTGTATGCGCAGGGCGTAACAATATACCTCGCACCCACTGCTGACGCCCGAGAGTCGTGGATGGGCACTATGCGTCACATCGCAATGGAAGGACGCTGCTTCGTGCTAACCTGCAATCAGTACGTGGAATCCAATACACTCCCACAGTACGTAGATGGATACGTCGACAATACGGGAAGCGAAGAGACGCCGACGGTTGTCTCATCAGGTGGAAGCGCCATTATAGGTCCGATGGGGGACGTGCTGGCGGGTCCGATGGTAGGCAAGGAGGGGCTGCTAACATTTAATGTTTGGAACATGCAGAAGGAGGTGATACGCGGGAAGATGGACATGGATGTAGGCTTCAGTGGGCATTATGCCAGAGGAGATGTGTTCAAGCTTAGTGTGGAGGGCTTGGATCTGAGTCCGCCTTAATGAGGGGCCGGCGGCGATGGGAGTGATGGCACAAGACAAGGCTAAGTTTGTAATCGTTTTGGCTTGGGCCGTCGATGAAGAAAAAGTCTTGAGAGTGTTGCGAGAGAATCGTAGTCCCTTACTACTACGTACATATATACATAACTCTCTCTGAACAAGAAATCATGCTCTCCTTGAGAGAAACATTTGCGGAAACAGTGCAAGCTCTGTTTTTTTGGTAATCTGGTTTGTGCCGGTGCTCCTGCTAGGGCCATTTGAGCTGGCCCGGGCAAAATACAGGTAGAATCCGGCCCATTTAGTCGTAGCCCGGACCATCTAGTGAGTATATATGGGCCTTGTCAAAAGGCCGTGATGCCCTATTCAGCTTTTCAATGGGCCAGGCTGCCGCAAGCACCCCGCAGCGTCTCCGGACCCCCAAAGACCTAGTCCTTCCGATCCCTGATATAAGTTAGATATATATTATTTGGGCATTATTTGACTGCGTATAGGCCATTATCAGACCTGTACAACCATTTATTAGCGACGGAAAAGTCTTGTAGTGTGTCTCGAGACCTCAGAGCAACCATAGTCTTGTCTCGAGAGAATTCTTTGTCCCTTTATACTAGTTGTATTGACGTGTTTAGAAACAATGGCTCGAGACATCCTGTCTCATGGCCATCACTATATAGATGAAGTAGTGGGGAGATGGTTCTTGGGCATCAAGGTGTATAATGCAAACCTCGAAGAAGGCACGGAGACCCGATAACAACAGTTGTCGTTTTGTTTGGGGGGGGGGGGTGAGATAACGGAGTGACTTGATTCTTTTCATGACCAGGAAAGGGCCCAACGAGCAGTTATGTAGGTAAGTAGATAACGGATAAGTGTCGTCGATATGGCAGCGACATAAGTTGACACGATAGCCGAGTGATAACTCGTGAGTGAAATGTTTTAGCGGGAGTGATGTTTTTTTTTTGTTTAATTCATTAATTGCATGCAACCTTACAGTTATGGCAATATCACACTACCCCAGAACTACCCTACTGCCTCCGCCACCTCTCGTCGTAACAAAGGAAATACTAAAGAAAAAGAAGAGAAAAAAGAAGATAAAACTCGTTACTCCTCGTCCCTTGCATCCTTCAGTGTGCCCCATCCTGGCCCAATTCCCTTCTTTCTTCTTCGGCTTCCTCGCTACGTCCTTCCCTTTCGTGCCTCCACTTTGAAAACTGTTTCCATATCTTTGAAGCTGCTTCGATCCCGCTGGCCGTCCAGAGTAGCTTGAAGTGGGGGTGGGTGCAATGTGCAACAAGCAACGTCGCCTCACAATAAAACTCCTAGAAAGATTACCGAAAACTGCCCATGTGGCTATATGTGCCCAGCGAGAAGTAATGTCTTCACAATCAGCCTTTACTCTCGTGTGGGCAGACCTTCTGCTTGCCCTTTCGCTCAATTAATTTTACCCATCGATCCAAACCATTTGAGAGTAATCAGTCTATTTCCTTTTAACCAGCTAATTGATATGTAGCTATATGCAGGGCCGGAACGGTCGGTTCAGTTACCATGGTGGTGGACTGTACCTACGTCCATCTTTGCATTGACAGAGAGAGGCACAAACCCCGGGAAGGGACATCACGCTGCGCTAGTCTAGAGGTACAACAACGGGAGTGAGAACCCGTCCGATCTGCTCAGGTTTTGATACGGGACTCCTGTGGGCGGGAAATCGGAGAGAGTGTGCGATGTAGACTATACCTCTCTAGCTTAGCTCTGGGTCTAAGAAAGTCAGTGCCCACTGATCTTGTCAAAAACCAAACCTACAATCCCCGATATCCAGAACTTTGTAGTCATATATCGTGCTAATAATTTATAAAGTCGGCTTCCGCAGATGCAGATATAGTCATTCTCTACCAACTAAGAGAGGATAGATCTAGAGTACTGAATTGTCAGTCCCGAGGCCAAGAACCTTTCCCTTCCTTCCGCCATGGAAAGCTGCCAGTACCCGGTATCGATATCCATACTAGTGCCCCGTAACGAACCCAGAGCTCGAGTCAAAAACAGCGTCACGAACTTAGCCTGTCATAAACAGTAGTTTTTAACTGTCAGATGTCATGAACTAAGCTTGATTTCCACTTCAAATTTACCCCAAGATTGCCCTAATCCACCCCAAATTTCATTTTCTAATCCGATTTTACACCTCGAGTTACCCTAATCCATACAAAAATTCGGTTTACACTAGTGATTAGTTCATAACCATGACACCTAGCTTTCCTCAAGCCAGTTTTTAACCAGTTTAAAACTGTCTGTTAGTAACACAGTTTGAAACTCCCGAGTTCGTCACAGGCCCCTAATCCATACCTCCTTAGCCTAGACGAAAAGAATGCACTGGGCCTGCAGGTAGGCGGGAGGGTAATTTATCGGGAGAGTTTCAAAGAATGGTTCCAGATCTAATCCGCACGGCTGGAAGACGCATGCTTGAATAGGGAGCATATCGGGGGTCACCGCTGTGACTGTGCCTGCGCCAAACGCCTCGACGCGACAGTGACATGGGTAGGTACTTGGTGCCGGGAGAGCGAGGCAAACAAACGGTCTTGTAAGTAATTGCTGGCTTTACCGGGTGTGATCGCCTTAGCTATAGTTCGATATCAAGGCTAGAACTAACAGCAATATGAACTAGATAGACAAATTATACATGTAGTCAACCAAAATCCTCAATGTGAACTTAATGGTTGGTTACACCCCCGGCACTTGATTGTCCTCTCGACGGATTGAGGTCCAAGGTACATATCATGCGAACAATCCCGGATACTGGCTTTCAGCCCCTCCCCCGGAGAAACGGATGGTGCCGCTGAACTCTATCGAATAACGCGTGCTACGATAGAGCGAAGATTTTAACGGTTGTTCCACAGAAAGGATGTTTTCTAGGATGCGGTAACTGTGCCTGAACCGAAATGGCTGCTGATAACAGGTACGGGTTACACAAGACCGCGGAGGAATTAAATCCATTTCTTTCCCTACTGAAATTTATATAAGTGTTCAAGGGTAGATATATATATATCTTATTGCTTTATCGTTGTGAAGAGGTTAGTACAGTTACAGTCCCTGCATCGATCAATATAATTTATTTAATTGACCCGTTTAATTAGGCCCCACCGATTTAAGCTCCTGCTGTGTACAGTAACGAGTTGTATGCTACATACATCAAAACGGCATATCTATCGATGCGCATCGCGACACCTGCTACTTTGGATCACATTACCCGAGCAGCTTGGTAAGTAGCTAGTAGCACATCAACCGCACATGGAAAGATATCTACTTTATAAACTGTTGATAAGTAGAGTCCATATCGCTGCAATGGCTAGTGACACAAAGAATACAATATAGTAGGCAGTCACTCTATATTGCATTTATGTCTGTATATGGACCTGCAAATCTCCACAACCATCTCTTCACGCCTTGCCCCTTACATCTATCTCGATTCTGGACCCCTCTCGAGATAGAGTTAAAGCTGAAAAAGAAGGTTGGGGCTAGATGGACGCGGGTACCCGGAAAACCATGTAATCGGACGATTTTAGGCGTGAACCATTTTTTTTTGCCTCCTGAAGGAAACAGGGGGGAGGCGTAGGGAGTGAAAGGAAGGGAAGGGCTGCTCGTAGCTAGGTACTTAATGCTGGCTGTTTGTCTTTCAATCCGGGTTAACTCTATCATCCTTCGACCCATCGTCGAGGACAATTCCAAGTTGAACACTTAAGGAATATATCCGTCTGGGAATTGTTGGTAAGTAAGTTTCGAATACAGTAGAATAGAGCTGTGGTTAACAGTACGTTTGCTGGAGTTATAGGCATCATTTTCAATCCGTAGAATTTTGATCCTGTGATGGCGGTGTTTACCAAGATATGGGTAGCGCTTGCGGTGGCACTGCTACTCATAAATATCCAAGCAACAGCAGCAGAAAAAGTTTCGAAAAATCCAACAGACACAATCACTAGCGGAGGCATGTTATATCCCCCCGGTACCGAAACATCGATCGAAACTGACATTCCGAGGACTACAGGAGACAGCACTCGCAGTGGCTACCAAAGCACCCACAACCTCGACCCCAATGTCGTCTCATCCGGCAGCTTCAATCAAATCTGGAAGCAAAAGCTCCTCGGAAACTACAACGGCTTTACCGAACGTAAGCTTTGACCGTAATCTATTGCTTTCAAGTGCGTCCTAACTCCGCAAATGTAGAGATCTATGCCCAGCCGCTCGTCTTCACGCCCCCCGGGCAAAGCCAATTCGTCTACGTGATCTCGCAAATGAACATCGCCTACCGCCTCTCCGCCACCACCGGCGAGATCCTCGCCTCCCGCCAGCTCGCAATTCCCTTCCTTGTAAGCCCCGACCTCGAAGGCTGCAACGACATCGCCGACTGCGTCGGGTCCACTGCAACGGGCGTCATTGACCCAGATCTCGGCGTGTGGTATGTCACCACCAAGACATACGTCGACCAGACCATCAACACTCCGCAGGGACTGAAGGCAGGGCGTTATTACATTCATGCACTGGACGTGATGACACTGGAGAGTAAGCCGAATTTTCCCATCCCGCTGGAGGGCATTGTGGCCGATAATGCGCCGTGGAGGGTGTTTGAGGGCGGTAAACACCACCAGCGGCCGGCGCTTCTGCAGGTTGGTGACTATGTATATGCCGGATTCGCATCGCATTGTGTGCAGTGGAACTTTACGGGGTGGGTCATTGGATGGCATGCGACGGAGGGGAGGCTGTTAACAAAGTATGCGATGGAGGGGGGCACAGAGAAGAATGGCATCGGAGGTGGCATCTGGATGTCCGGTGGTGGGCTGGCGAGTGATAATCCGGGGAGGATGTTCTTTGCAACCGGAAACGGGTATGCGAGTCAGCTTGCGGACGACCCAGTTCCTGGAA